TTTGAAATTTCCATTTTTATTTCTCGAATTTCAGGATCGTTTTACACGCATTCATCGATTATGGGCGGCGGAGGCAGACGTGACGGTTACTACGATGAAATGTCGGAGGCGTTAACCGACGAACAAAGGGAGCACTACGGTCAGTATATGCGTGCTTACAAGGGGTACTTGGACATGGTGGACGTGGCAGTGTCATCTCAAGACGAACCTGTCCCCAACAGTGACTTGTACAGATTTATGGACCATGCGCTGTGGTCGACCCTGCCTAAAGCCGAATACAGGGTGCCGGAACCGTGGCGTTACCGTATATACTCAACATTAGCGCATGTGTGTTCCGCGTTACGACTTCACGGTTGGAGAGACCAACTGATCAGACGGTTCGTCTGTACGCCTACGTTCGTTAGCAACAGGAACAAATCAGCATAGGCTACATTGGTGATGGGAATAATCCGGACTGGCGAGAATTCAAGAATCCAAATTTACCGATTTTGAAAGTATTATTTTATACAAGGGGGTCGCAATAGCCAATAAGTGGTCTTAAAATGAAATAAGCGAATAAGCGAGTTCCAGTGTGACTAGACGACGAAATAACCTTTTTTATTGTACATATTTCTAATTATTTGTTTCATTACAGCAACCAAATGATACAACACATATTGCTTTTCAGATGTAATATTACACACTGTCATATAGTCATATGCAATTCGAATTTATCTAATGATCTATATAGATGGTAACTATTTTACTGTACAGTTTTTAACAACTTAATAAAAGTATTTATTTTTGTTTAAAGTGGTCACACTGTCGCTCGGCTTCTTGACTACTTCATTTCTGCTGACATTGTATTATGATATAACAACTTTATACATTTTTACTCTTACTATGATTTTATAAAAAGAAACTATACTTACATTCGTTTATGCATTTCTCGTGATACGAATCACAAACTAATTATAAGTTATAACTGTACATTTATCTGAAAAAAACAAACACAATAAAAGAAAAAATCTAAACCAGGGCCGGCGCAAGACATAGGCAACATGGGTATATTGCCTTGGGCGGCATTTTCCAAAGGGAGCAATTAATTAAAACAATTTTTTTTAATAAATAAATAAGTTAATTAACTAATTATTTCAGATAAATATTTGAAAATGCCGCAAAATTGGAGTGGCCTAAGTTGAAATACTGTCTATTGCCGACTTCGGTCGAAACCATAAAGATATATTATTTTAATTATGAACTTAATTTATACATAATAATATCAATTATTTGATATGAAATAATTACCAACTATTATAAATATCAAAATGGATTAAGTATGAATTTTTGAAAAATAAAAATATCTTTATAATTTATACTGTACATAATATGTGTATAACATATTGTATAACTAACAGTAAACAGTAATATTCGGATTTTTAAATTCAAAACATAACTTTAGGATACAACTAATTATATATTCGAATAAACTAACAACCTTTTTCGATTGTTATTGGTGGCTTATTCACACAATTGATCATTTTGTTCAATTGATTATTTTATTCACGTAATATTTCCCTTAAATAAACATTATAATATTATAATATTTAAAACTTACCAGTTAGAACTACCATTTAAAATATGATTGTAAACTTGGACACTAAAATTTGGTAATGTATTAAATTATATACTATGTGTATTTAATTTGACATTAGTTGCAATAATTATTCAAAAATTGCTATAAAGTAAAATTTTAATTTATCTGTTTAGTAAATATTAATGAAATGTATATTAAATTAGAAATAGATTACGTTTAGTCAATTTAGGTATATTAATATTGAATTACATGAATTATGAAAATCAGAAACATATATAATTATATAATTTGTATTTATTGTATTGCCTGCGTTACAATTGGTATGATTGGTTCATTTTTATTAACTACAACTTTTTGTTTAATTTATTAATTATTTCGGAAAATAACATTAATAAACTAATTATGTTATTTTTTACTTTTTTTTAAGTATACATAATGTAGGTATATATTGTATTTTAAAATATTTTTTCTAATTAATCATTATTTATTATATTGATTAACTGATTAATGTATTTATATTTTAAATAAAAACTACAAACCATTTCGATACGCTGTTAAGGGTTTTATCTCAGGAATTTATTATAATTTTCACTGCATAGGTATTATGCTACTCGATACCTACTCATTTTTTTTTTTTTTAATTGCACTATTATAAAATTATAAAATTACCAAAAAGTATGAAATTATATTTTTAATAAAATGATAATTTATATTGTAATGATAAACAATTAATAATTTATACAGTTAACAATTTACAACAATTTAACAGTTTGAATAGAATAAACAATTAACAAAATAAAACATTGGGTATTAACGACACTTTGTATGGGTCAAATAAAACAATGAAAAATTAAATAATGATAAATAGAAAATAGTACAACTTACCTTTACTACTTACAAGTAGTAAAAAAACTGGTATTACAAAAAGTGGTCCTCTCAAAGTTTGAACAGCAAAGTAGTCTAATTTGTGAACTAATTAACATTGGGCTGGTACACATATAGTGCCCTTAAACAAACCATTTAATTAAATATGATTAACAATAGACGTAATCATAAAACTTTTTTATTTACGTAAATAAAAGATTACTCGCCGGCCAATTAATAAAATACATATGGCACACTTTAAGTGTAAGTTTTTTCATTTGATCCAGTTGATGATTTAAAGTATCCTTATTAACCTGGCAGAGCATGGTCCACTGTACATTGTCTCAAATGTTGTGCTATTAAATAGAAGTCGTATCTAAAATGTATTAAAGGAAAGACTATAAAAATTCACCACATGATAATTATAAAAACTAGTCACACCTATATTCACTTTGTAAATCATGTTATAAATGTTATCGTTTGTTCTATAGAAACACGAATTTCAGTTCTTCAATGTTCTCAGTGCCTACAGCTTACCTATTACAATTTATCTCTCTTGGGAACTATGAAAAACTCTATAGGAACACCGGCTTGACCGTAGAATTATTTAACAACGACTTTTAGTTTACAAAAACTGTATATAAATTTAAATTTAACGAAATAATTTAAAGTAAATTTTTACAACAAACTAATAGTTAATACTTTTAACAGTCCAATGTCAATTTTGTGGAAATTTTGAAGTGGATACTCACCGACCCCGTCTCTGTATACATAGCTATGCATGTTGGCAAACTTTCATTTATCGGATAAGAAGTCATCAAGGCCCCTGGAAAAATAGAATTTTAGAATAAATTATAAACTAACAAAATAGTCCTTCACAATTAAAAAAAATATATATATTAAATGATCTACTTACTGGCTATAGAAGCTGCAAAATTATTAAAGGTAATCATTGGTACCCTAACTATGGGTATCAAAACACAGCTGTTCAAGCCAACACAGTAAGAAAAAGTGAGAATTTTAAGTATTATATTTTTAATAATTGTTACAAAAACGTTTTAGGGATATTAACTTTTAGTTAAAAAAAAGACTGTTAAAATGCTTCTACAGAAAAAATTAAATTTTAAAACCCAGTTGATTCCGCACAACAGTTATATATTATATAATATTTTTTGTTTAAAAAAAGCTTATTTACCAATGTTTGTAGAATATTTTATAAATTATGTTTTGGCGAATATTAAATTATTCTAGGAATACAAAAAAAATTCAAGTTTCAACAGTAATTTCTCAAGTATTAAAACTGTATTATAATATAAAAGAAATATTTTTTAAACATCGGTGTTAGAAATAATATTTATTCCAATGGCGCCTATTTGTCGCTCATCGATCCAATAGCAACGGATTGGTCTACATTGTGGTTTAACGCAAAATTTGTTTGTCTTGGTGCACAGTTATTCATTGTCACGCGATTGGTTTCGACGGACCAATTATATCCCATTCATTCACATTCAAAAAAAATTAAAAATTTTGAATTTTTCAATTTTCCAGGTAACTTTTTTAATTTTTTATTCTATTAAAACCTTATTTAGACTATTACTAATATTAAAAAAAAATTAGCCAAATCGGTCCAGCCGTTCTTAAGTGATGTGTGTTCCACTGAGCATAATTTCATTTTTATTTATATTAATATAGTATTTTTTTATACTGTTTTGGTAAATAGGTACTGGCCAAAAAATAAGAAAATGTTTGTCATGCCAACAAATTCAAAATAACATTGGGTTACAATTGAATATACAACATTGAATATTACAACATGAATAACAATTCGTTTGTTATTCATGTTTGGATATTCTTATCTTAATTCACAATGAATTCATTCGCTTTGATAGAAATAAAACGACAGTACGTATAAATTGAACAAATATATTGTTTTGTTTAGTATTGTGTCAGGCAAGCCAGTATTTCGAAATGCTGAACACTACTAATAAGCACGCCGCGCCAGTGGTACAAGGACAAGCCGTTTTCCTAGTTCCTACAGATCTATAACCACCTATCTCTGGTTAGGGGAGAAAGAATTCTACCAAGGGCTACACACCTGTTGGTAAGTAACGTTAGTAGTTAGAGTGATGTGCGCAGATAAAACACTCCACCCTTTCTCTCGTCCTAAATTTTTAACATGATTAACTTTAATAATAATTGTTTTAAAATGGTTTAAACAGGGTTAAAAGCCGAATGGTTACATTACAAAAATATAATTTATGTATAAATACTCTACATCAAGTTGTGACGGTCTCAACGCACTATTTCCCAGACAAATATGTGATATGTAGTTATGTCCATTTAAAGTAAAAAAAATTGCAGCACCCGTTAACTTAAAAATCGAGCACAGCATGACCTAATTTTGGAAATAC